TTGTGTGTCATGACCATAGGTCAACAAAGAGCTAAGACTATGTCTTCTTCTTTGAAAGATCATTCTTCAACCCTTCTATTGAAGGATCTTGATATTCGAGCTTGCTAAATCTTGATCCATTGTTGAGTTTTAAGTCCAAAATCAACTACATCCTCTAGTACCAGAAGACACTTTTTATGATGCTTTTCAGTCGTCATCTTCTCCGAAAGGGTGGTTTACAATGATGGACTCCAAATCTCTAAGAGTACAACAACTATGTACCCGTATACCAAAGAGAAGTGTGTGTAGCCCGTGGGAATGCCAATCATTGTTCGATAGGCCAAAAGACACTCTCCGACACTTTTGTCCCAACTTTATTTGTTGGAAGAGACAATTTTGTTAAGAAGTTTGATGGTGGTCTTGTTGAATGCCTTAGTCGGGCCATTAACAGCCAGGTTGTATAGCGTAGAAGCCATGTCCTAAATCCTAAACTTCAATTTAAAAAATGGTTAGCAAATGAAGTGAGGTCTATTATCATAGACAATCTTCTAGGGGATGCCAAATCAATAAATGATGTGGTGTTTTAGGAACTTAACACGTTGAACATTAAACTTCTTTGAGCTAGATTGTAACATCGCAAATTTTTTTCCTTCCGGAGATCAGATACCGTTACTGATACCTGTCCATAAATCAAAAATTCTATTCCTACCTTATATTTCAAATAATTTTATAGCATGAGGATTTTAACTTAGATAATTCTCATTTTATGATCTAGTTAACTAAGTCATAGCATGCATATAAAACTAGCATGTAAACCTAAACCAACCATGTTTTAAACTTTAATTAGAGATGATCCAAATTATTAAATACCTATTTTGAAACTCTCTAATTAACCTAATTATTTAATTTTGTCAGCCATGTAGTGGGTGAATTTTACATAAAAATCATTAGCTTTGGTCAAATTTGAAGATTCCTCTCCACATGGGTCTTATATATATGAACACTCAACCTCCTCCTCCATTCTAAGAGAATATTTTCCTAAACCCTCACTCCTTCCCCTCTCCTCTGAGTGAGCAACACCCCTACCCATTTCCTCTTTTGTTTTTAGAAAAAACAAAATTTTAAGCATCATCATCTCTTAAGCCCTAGAGATAGAACAAGAACGAAGAAAAAAGAGAAGCTAGTTAGATGTGATGCCACTGGTTTCACACAAGGCTACAGTCTAAGGTGAACCCAGAGATGTCAAACCTACCATGCACCCACAATATGCATAAACATATTTTACCAATCACAACAATATCCTCTAGTAGAATCAAATAAAAGTGCAAGTACAAAACATGCAAAATAAGGGAATAAATGTGAATGTCAACAATGTGAATCATATGGCAACGGCAATACATCCGATAACTGAAACAATGTGAATGTCAACATGAATCATCTAGAATCGTACTAAGGAACACTGCCATTACAAAATGAGAATGAAACTCTAATGTCTGAATAAAACATAAAATCTATTGTGGAGCTTCTAAAAACTCATGTGACCGTGACTATGCTAGAACTCTGTTATCCTGCGGCTCTCCATACCTCTACACCACCTGAAAGAAGAGAAAATAATAAAAAAAAGCATATAAAGAGCGTCAGAGCGCTACAGCAAGATCATCTCCATCCGCCCCCAGGGGAAGGACTACTAGATGGAGTGGAGGCTCTATCCATAAGCATAGTCTATCTAGATTCATTTTTCCTGTATCTAAATGGAATAAACATTTAAAAACCTATAACACGAGGTGTAGTACGTCGAACGAAATAATCCAAATAAGGAAACCGTCATGTATATACCATTATCTCAATTTATAGATATCTAAACATTAATACCGAACTAAGAATAGATAAACTAATGAAATCAACAATTAGAAATCCACAACATGAGACTGGTACGTCGAGCGAAATAATCCAAATAAGGAAACCCTCATGTATATACCATTGTCTCAAATTGTGAATCGTTAATCATTGATCCCAACTAAGAAGTAATAAAAATAGTAAAGAAATATGAAGACATCATTACATCGTATTTTTGATATCTTTCATAATCATTAGGGAGATAAAATAAATACCAACATATACTCCTGTATACTTTCAAGAGCAAAGTATCTCAGTCATATATCTTAAAGATGATTTGAACTAATAACTGACATCCACCTAAAACATAGGCTATAAATCAACCATCTCAATGTCACAGACTACCCTATAGGTATCCTGAACTGTGTACATGGCTCATTAGTCTCATCGCGATCTTAGCACGTAGCCTGAGTGCAGGAAAACCTACCATATAGGTATCCAAATAGATGGTTCACAAGCCTCATATATAGACGGCTCACTAGCCTCATTGCACCCTCGTACGGACGGATTGTTATACAAAGCATCCAAACCCGACTCAAAAATTTTGAATATGAACTCACTTTTGCGTTCCACTATAGCCGGACGAAGCAAACCTAATCCTCTCTTGTGTCTTAGTGTAGATGGAAGAAATCAATACTTAGAGGTCCCCAACTAGGGATGCCAAATGGGTGGTTTTAGTTGGGTCTTGGTTGGGTCATAAATGAGTGGACACATTTATGATCACTTGACAATTTATGACCCATTTAGCATTTGCTAAATAGGTCACTTCTTAACGACCCATTTACTAAATAGGTGCTTCATGGGTGACCAAATAACTCATTTAGTTATGATTATGATGCTTCTATATATATGTAAGTTTTAGGGATCTACTTGCAATTTTTAGGGGGGTTTTGACAAACTTTTAGGGGGGGTTTTCTACAAACTTTCAGGGGGGTTTCTGCAAACTTTTAGGGGGTTTTCTGTAAACTTTCAGGGGATTTCCTGCAAACTTTCAGGGGGTTTTCTACAAACTTTCAGGAGGGTTTCTGTAAACTTTTAGGGGGTTTCCTACAAACTTTCGGGGGATTTTCTGTAAACTTTTAGTTTTTCTGCAAACTTTCAGGGGTTTTTTTGCAAACTTTCAAGGGGTTTTCTGCAAACTTTTAGGGGGTTTTCTACAAACTTTTAGGGGGTTTTCTGCAAACTTTAAAGGGGGTTTCTGAAAACTTTCAGGGGGTTTTCTGTAAACTTTTAAGGGGTTTTCTAGAAACTTTTAGGGGTTTTCTATAAACTTTCAGGGTTTTTTTTGTAAACTTTCAGGGGGGTTTCTGTAAATTTTAGGGGTTTCTGTAAATATTTCTTTCTTAATTGAATCGACTACTTGGGAAAATATCTTTTGTGCGTCAATATCTCAACTCACTGATCGCAAATAACACTTGTTCTAATTACTCAAACTAGATTAAAGCATAAACATATAACTTTTCCCCTAACTTTCTTCCAAATTCTCGTGCATTCTCCAATATCCATACGTAGCAAAAGTACCTAACCTTAACATTAAATTAAGAATATGAGACGGGTTCCTCCAAAAGGAAAGTCATGTAGGCATCAAAGACCAACTATATATGCAACAGTTAAATCTTGACGAGGTACTGAAAAGATTTCACACACGCATATATCTCTTGTCGACGAAGAATTGTGAGCGCCTACTTTTTATATTTATATATCCTTGAGGGTGTTTTTTGTAATTTTTAAAAGTTTGAGGGTGTTATTTGCAAATTCAATATTTATAGGGGACTACCGAAATTTTTTAGATTTCATGTGTCATTTGCAAGTTTAGAAAATTCTAAGATTGTTTTGTAGTTTTGAACTCTTGAGGGTGTTTTTTGTAATTTTTAAACTTTGAGGGTGGTTTTTGTAAATTATAAATTTACAAGGGGCTGCTACTAATTTTTGGATTTCATGTACCATTTGTAGGTTTTGAAATTTCAGGATGATTTTGTAATTCTAAACTATGGAGGGTTTTTTTTTAAAATTTAAAACTTTAAGGGTGTTAATTGCAAATATTAAATTTATAGGGGACTATTGAAATTTTTTAGATTTCATGTGTTATTTGCAAGTTTAGAGAACTCTAAGATTGTTTGGTAATTTTGAAGTCTTGAGGGTGTTTTTATCATTTTCTACAACTTTAAGGGTATTTTTTGCAAATTATAAAATTTCAGGGGGTTGTTGGTAATTTTTGAATTTCATGTGTCATCTATGAGGTTAGAAAATTTTGATAGCTTTTTTAATAATTTTTAACTCTTGAGGGCGTTTTTATAATATTTTAAACTTTAAGGGTGTTTTTTACAAATCTCAAAATTTTAAGGGGCTATTAGTCATTTTAAGTGTTTTCTATAATTTTTAACTTTTAAAAATAAGTTTTGTAATTATTGAAGTGAGGGTGTTTTTAAAACAATATCCATCTAAATAGGCAAATGAGTGGGTAATAACCCGCCCATTAATGACTCATTTATCTTTAATAGAAACTATATCCACCCATTTATGGCGCATTTAACTAAATGAGTGGGTTTTGATGGTTCATTTGGCGGGTGGGTATGGGTGGGCAATTGGTTTTGGGTCCATTTTGCCATCCCTATCCCCAAGGACCCTAACTCCATGCACAAGGGAATCTCTGCAATATCGCAAAGATTTGTCCTTTCCCTCGCATGAACGGAGAAAAAGAGGGAAAATAAAGA